AAGCTTGCCCCCCCCCCCCCAATACATTTTGCTGGATCCGCCACTGCAGAGTAATAGCCGAAAAAGAAAAAAATCCAACTGTAGACTACAATATTGCTTTGTCGTCAATTTGTACAAATGTACCAATCAACGAGATTAGATCTTAAATTATTGTTTGATTCTGTTCAACACGCACACTGTACAACACTAGGGAAGTTACATACAGACACAGACAAAGAACAAAATATGAACCAAGAAATGTGTAAAAATAATGAGTGCCTCTTTAAGGTTACTAGATGAACCATGTCTTCGTTTATGTGTGTATCGTACCCGACGTGTCAACTGCGAATGGTCCATTTGACGGCGTGGATGAAATCATAAAGGTCGGCATTGCAGCTGTTGTTGTTGGGACATCCTCATCTTCCCACGTCAACAAAAACACATTTCCGGTGGCCGACTCCGGCAGGTAGATAGTTGATGGTAAATTGGTTATTCTGATCGGTTCATTCTCATCTGAGATCACAACCGTTAGTGTAGACGTCGTAGACAATCCATCATTATCAACAGCCTCTATGTATAATTCATAGCTTGGTGGTCCATTTTCGAAGTCAAAACCGGGAAAGTTAGCATTTTGAATTTCCGCAGCTGTACAAACAGAAAAAGGTGTACTGTGTTCATTTATTTGCATGTTTATTAATTGAGTTTTGCGCTACTGGGAACTATAGAAAATAGTTTATTATATACGAGAAGGTCCTACCTGCTTCCCATGCAAACAGGTCATACGTAACATTTTTAATCTGGAACGGAGCCCCAAACGGACTGCTTCCAACGATATTGAAAGATATATCTGCTGCATATGTGTCATCGTCTGTGGCTTTTACATATTTTACCAATTCTGGAACTGTAGCTAGTTCTCCAATTGTCGCGGTGGCAGGAAGGTTTGTAAATCTGGGCGGACTTTTAGTGTCTATCACTTCAACCGTTATAATTCCTGTTACTGCAGGCTGGGTATTGTCATTTAGATCTATTACTGTAATTTCCAATATATACTCTGTTATGACGTCATAATCAAATCCTGGTGGCACTACTGCTCGTATCAGTGCAAAATTGTTTGCATCGGGTGGACCTGTATATATATATATATGAACATATACAAGAATTGATAAAAGAACATAGTTTATTGGTTCATCCATGATATCACCAGGCGTGTTACGTACAAATAGTGCAATAGTATGTCAATATATTTACCTTGAACTAGTTCAAATGGAAACGAGACATTCGGATTGGGTATTATTGCAAATTGGTACATAGCATTTGCACCCTGTCCCGTTGCCTCGATTGGTGTATAAATCACGTCTCCATTACCAGCTTCTTCCAATACCGAAACACGATCCGATAATACTATATCCAGTCCTTGGAAATATAAATACACAATAATATGTATATGAATAATTTAAAAAAAGTATTTTATAGTTCATTGTTAGTGAATGAGATATATTTTGGTCTCGGGCAATGTTAATCTCATGTTTAGTCAGTGTCATTTACACCAACGAGTGGTTATTTTTTGTGAGATAAATAATGTATTGATTATTTGCTCATTAAGAATTCAATGCATGTACAATGCAATAAATAACATACATTTTGACATTCTTTGTTTGCACTGCGCATTGAAACAGATGCATATGGTAGTCACTCACTTGAAATAATTCAACTTAGTGTTGCACGTGGGGTATAAATAACTTGTCATACTGTCAAGCCGATTTATTGGTTTACATTCACTCATAGTGTACTTTAAATACTACTTGCAAAACCTCTTGAACCCCGCAGATAAAGCATAGAAACGCAGCATTATTTATATTTAAATACAAAAAGAAGGGAGATGTTGTTGACAACAAAGTGGTATGACATGGGACATGAGAAATTAAGACAATATTTTACTTTTAAATTCATGACACAAACAATTTGAAAATCAATATTGTAATAATGATATTTAATTTGGTCATGGATGTTCAGACATTTATGACGCAAGTTATGTATTGAGTAAGCTTATACATGAAATATAATACATAATACATTATCAAAAATATGATATATTAATTAGAAATTATATTATAATATATTATACCAGTATTTCAATTGTCTAAATAAGTCATTCTGATTGCTCGACAGCGTGTTGTAATTATGCAAACCGTGGTTTTCTCTGCTTTGAAGTCGGCACGAAAAACACAAGTGGGTTAAATCTTACTGTCAACGGAAATCGTCGCGTATTTTGGGTAGAGATAATGTGTACAGTTAATTGAGTACAGCATAATCAGGCACTTTTACAAATGACAAAGTGAACACAGTTTACTATTATTCCATATACGCCGAATCAGTTCACAGATTGATTACATATTAACAACTTACACACATTTAATCCGACCAAATATGGCAAAAATCCTGTCGTTTTCATCCGAATTCGCAATAACATATTATGTTGACAATCACTAACTCGGTCATCATACTATGACGTGTATCTATTAATGTTAGTTATAGACCTTTATTTATGGTTAAACAACTTTTTTGAATGTTTTACAGGGTTTTATAGTCATATAAAATGTTCGAAACGATGAAAACTTGTTCCATATACTTGAGAATGAGATATCAGAAATCACTCGAAAGATCGATTCCCGTGGGCGGCTGTTCAATCAGGCAGTGACAGAACAGTACATTGTGCAAACTTTCTAGGATCGTGACATCATTAGTTTGGAGAATGGTGCCGCGTAGATAATCTCATGTGTTGTAACGGTGCTCATACACAATAAGCATATAGTAACTGTTATGCATTTAAATAGACAGCGGAATACCACGAGATATAGCACTGGAACCTGGCCAGTTAATGTAAACTAACAAACTCCCTACAGACGGCTCTATGATAGAAATGTCAAAACTATTTTATACAATTACCAAAAGTGTGTATTTAACGGCATATTCATAAAAAGGTCGATACTGTCAATTCTTTTGTGATTTTTTTTCAAGTATCCAACCAGGATTGGAACCTATTTTGAGCCACACGAATTGCGCTCGTGAAATTAGTGAAACTCACCTTCAACGAAATTATCAACTTGCATCAAAATGCAAACAATCATCAGAAAACAGGTAGAGACATTGTCCAGAATCATCGTCACCAGTATGTCTTGTTAAATATCATCAGTTACTCTCAGGTAAGACCACGTTTAGGTAAATACCAGCTCCGACAGTCGAACTGCAAGTATCGCAACCGAGCCAATAATGCAGCAAAGGCAATAAAGTTGATTGCATGCTCGAACACGTAATAGCAATTAAGCACAGTCACCTAACGACCAGACAGGCACAGGTCACAACAAACAACTGTATTCAATGAAATCAGCCGTCTACATCTATATCCTCGCATACATACAAAATCACTCTAGCGTCCACACACAATTTTACCTAGATATATATAACAGCGGCTGCCGCCTCAGTCAAAACCACGCCATGTTTCTTATTTGCAATTTGCATATGAGCTCTCAAAACATCGAGTATACAAATGAATATCTAAAAGGTTCTGATAGTTTTCATAGAGCAAGTAGACTCTGATTTCGATGGACAGGGGAGTCTCTGATAATTTATGTGTATCGAGAAAATGGCTTAACGTAAAGTGGCTTCGATAATTTCCAATTTCCAGACGGCTCTGATGATTAACATTGAATGAGAATTACCACTAAATGAGGCGGCTCTGATAATTTCCATAGATGTTCCATCTCTAGAGCAAGGACGAAAAGATTTCGATAATTTGCATAAAGGAAGCTATAATTTCCCTGTGGAGTCAAAGGTAATTTACATAGAGCAATGAAGTTACAATAATGTTCACATGGTGAGCAGACTCCAAAAATTTACATAGATCATGAAGGCTCAGATAAATTCAATAGAGAGAGAAGGTTTCAATTAACATATTTCGAAGAGCTCTGGTAATTCCCACAGAGCAATGAAGCTTTGAGTATTATATAATTTACTTGTGAAGAAGAGGCTCAGATAATTTAGAAGTTGGCACGACAACCTAGGTTGTATATTCTAGGTTGTATATTGGGTACCCCGGGTCGGAGGTCAAAGTCCTTGTTCATACAGTTATAAAATATAACTACCAGGAAAGGTTTCGCACACATATGGCCTTGCTTACAGGAAAATTTACGTTAGATCATTCTTAAGAGATATATGGGTGTTATCAGAGATACATAACCTGGGGTTTGTAAGTAGCGTGACATGATACCAAAATCCCGTTATAATCTTGCTCTCGCATAAGCGTTCCCAACTCAGAACAATGCGAATGCGCACGCCCAAGGTAACTAGGATACCGGGAGGTCCAGGTGGATCAAAATAGCTGCTCGCGATATGATGGATTACGAGTGACACATGTAAATAAACATAATAAATGCACATTTTCGATGTATTACATTATTCACTACGATAGTGATAAGACATGTTTTATTGTTTTATTACATACCTTGAACATTGATATATATATATATCATGTCACAAGGTCTCGCTATCTACGAGATGAGACTTGAATGGAATCTCGACATGATGTCACCATACATATCTATGTGTGTTGCATGAACCTTGACTGTTGCGCAGATCAACGAGTACAAACTGGCACGTTAGCAAACTTTAATTAGGTATATTTAGAGGATTTGAAGGCATCCAAGGAGTCACTGGCGGTAATTAGTGCAAGTCGCACCCAGGCCAAACCTCAGACTTATGATTTCCATTAAAAGATCGCATTGTGGGAATATCAATGTTTACCAACAAAAATGTCGCACATGCGCAGCGCCACGACCATCGCTCACGTAGTGAGATTGGGAACAAACATATTCATAAAGGTTCTCACGCGTTTGTTTTACGTGGCAATAGACTTAAAACATTCAAACTCACATATAGGAGTTCTGACGCGTTTTTTGTGTATCCCATGCAACTCACAGCTTCTGGTGGGCAAATGTTCGGATCTAAAGGACATGATCAGATTACTGATTTATGTATATTCAGTATTGGGTTACAAGGGGGGGGGGGTAGCTAGGAACTTCAGACTTGACATACATATTCCCTATGTAACATACATTACATGTAATTTGTAGGACAAATTTAAAATATGTGTGTGTATGTATGTTCACAATATTCCCTATCCCAGGGAAAGATCGTCATTATTTTTGTGATCCAAATACTTACACTTTAGAGATAAAGAGCAAGTGAAAAGCATATATGTGTATAAGGCCTAAACAGTGGCTCCGAATATTGATATGAATATTGAAGAAATCTAGCGCAGGTTGGCATCTCCTCTGAGCGGTGAGTGCTATCTACAAAGTGCTATCTATTGCAAAGATTCGTGTGGTGGGAAACTATTCGAGGGGAAAATTTCATATCATAATTCAAGCACCGCTTATTCAAAATCACGAATACATACGCAAATAAAATGTCACACAACTTTATTGCCTCAATATGTTACACTGACTAGAACATCGACAAAATGTTTCACTACATGGCAACTTAAAAAAGTGGTAACAATATCAGACGTACATAACCAGACAGGCGTAACGGATAGATCACCAATGAACTCAGAGGGGTGGTAGAATTTCCTAAAAATACACGGCACGTCGATTATAAGAGAAAAAGTAAATGTGAAAATGAACAAAAAATCATTAAAAATAGTGAAGTGAAGGAAAAAAACGTCATTTCCACCCGAGTATCTACTGGGTCAGCTCTAATTGACTGATACAATCTTGTCAGACAATGTTTGTCATATCGGTTTAGTTCAACACCTATTTTCAGATATAACTGAAACAATGTCACAGTGCAGACAAGATAGTAATATCGCAAGACACGCGCACCAACACAACATTACCGATATCTAATACTGAATGCAAATTGACACAATACAATCAGTGTTAGGCGTATCTCAGTGTGATGGTGGTAAGATACATGCTGTCAACCTTAAATGTCGATACAAGATCTGCCCATCTCTGAGGTTTTGGCAGCCAATGATTGGCTTCTAAGCTGGTTAGTTTTCACTGAGAATGGTGACCAGGAATACGTTTGAGGCCCGACAATGAACATACAGCTAAAATGCTGCTACAGTTTACTTAGGGTTACGCCGAGTTCTGAGTACATATTTAGATTATATAGTTATCCTGTCAGTAATCCTACATCAAGTTAAAATAAAAATCCCAACTCAGTCGAAACAGATCAAATACAAAGTGTGCTTATCCGTTTTATGTGGCGACGGTGGTGTTCTAATTCTAACGTAATGTAAATGAATTACAAGTTCACAATTACAATAATATAATCATGGTATGTGATTGGTATTAAATAATATTGTGTTAATAATAAAATGCATCAGTCATCTCGGTTATATGTGATAAAATCAATTTAAAGCATGACTAGGATAAGGAAAAGTTTCGGGATATTTAGTATTTATATACATTTATCATTGGCTTAGATAGCCAAATCGTAAATAGTTTTGAATACGATAATAATTAGCTGACACAATTATATTATCACCACTAAAGTAGATATAACAGTTCATGGTGGATATTGGTATAATCCAATGTAGATACAACGTCCAGTATCCAGTTAAATCACTGCAAAAATAAACAAATATATTCTAGGTTATTGGGATGGACCATTAGAAACGTTCGGGTGATGGTAGAAAAACTATGCTTTACTTAGTTTAGGGCTAATTTGTTGAATGATCGATTCGCTGTATGTTTATTTCCATGATTTTTTTCCCAAGATATTTTCCTAAGAACATTTTTGTAAATCTGCCATCGCTCCCAGAGTTCTCACTTCTTATGAAGATAAATCAATATTTTTAATGTAAAGACATGAATTCAGATAATTAAATGCAATTATTAGTACAAGCCGGTAGGTAAAGATGATCAAAGAGGCAATTCGGAGATCTAAAATTTAAAAGGTCTGCTATTTTGAAAATAATTATAAGATTGAGGAAATAGGTTTGATAGGACATGTATCGGGCATATTATATACTCTGTGATATAGAGCAATAATATGGACATTCTACCAAAATCATTGATCTTCATTTTGAAAAAACTTGGGCTTCCCATATTTACAATAATCCAAAATTTTGAAGTTGGGCGAATGTGAAGCACGTATGGAAAAGAGTTATGTCATTGTTGGCACCCACTTAAACAGCATCCCGAGTGATCTATAATGTAAACCCGAATCCATTCCCATGCAAAAAGATAATGAGAAAACATGAGTTAATACGAGTCTTGGTTTTATAATAATCGAATTCCTTTTTCCAACGAGATTTGCTAACCTTTTTTATCCTATTTGTTTGACGGCACACTTATCTTACGCCAGGACCTGTTACCCAGAAACAAGTCACTGTTTTCCCGACTATCACCTCCATGACTAACGCTTTGCCGGTGGCCTATTGGTGTTTTCGGGGCGTGATCAACTGAAGCTGCAAATAATGGATTTACGATAATTAATTGTATATATTGCTTTAATAATATTAGACATACCGGCAGATTGTACCGTATTTGGGCATTATATCATTGTTATGTTAATATACAGTTTTTGTATTTTCAAAAGATCGACAGGAATTAGATATGCACATAATTAATGGAAGCCTTGACCGAGTAATAACCACCCGGAGAATTCTTGACATTCTTTATATTCAAATACATGGTGAAATATTATCCTTGATTTCATGTTTCAAGTGGTATCAGCTGAAATCAATTGTATGTCAATAACATGTGTGAAGTCAATTTGCAAATCTTCCAAAGAATTGATTGCCAATTCAACACTATTGTTATTTTAAATGTTGTAAAACTTACCCGGAGGATTACTGATAGTCTCAAAAGCGTGCCCAGATGCAAGCAACTTTCTCGATCCATTAATTTGAGTGCCAGTTTTTGCTTGGCTTGGCTTCTTGTCACCAATGAAGGCATCGAATTGCTTTTTCAAGCTGGCTGCACTTGAGTAACCCCCATTGTAAGACCTGACTTTCTTTTCTGGAGGCGGAGCACGTAGTGGTGCTGGTACTACAATGAGTGTTTCTGCTTTCTTTTTGGCATTTTGATCATCAACAGCTTTTGCAACTACTGGAGTACTAAATTGAAATTAAATTCGATAAGTGTCAATTGCACATGGTTTTGGTACACGTTGAGAGTATTTATTAGTAGTATAATATTAGTTAAATGTTTTTTGAATACATTTGTTTATCAGAATAGTGATACTTACGGTGAAGGTTCTTTCTTTTTTTGTGGCTTTGATCTCCTACATAATGATTTCAAACATGTACACGTGCATCTTTTGCACATACTTGCTAGTCTTGAACAACATCTGTACTTCCGGCAACAACATATCATCAGGAAAATGAGAGGAATAAGAGGCAATAATGACAGAATCCCTATTGTTATAAATCCTTCTAACGTGTCCAACCACCAATTGTAACTATTCGCTGTCTCTACGTCATAAGTTGGTTCTACCTTCACAATAGGAAATGTATCAAACTCTGGACCGGTGATGATTGCTGTTGGAGTACCAGTAGAGTCGATTGTCATTGCGCCTACTAAATCTTGGAAATAAACGAATTCCTTAACTGTGTCAATGTTTGATTGGTATTCTGTAAGGTCACTTGTAAGTGCATATGCTTCAACAACTGCTGAACTGTAATCAATTATGACAGTGATATTATTCAAAACACTTGCCGCGTAGTGCTACATATTTTGTTTTGATGTAAACAGTTTTTCAAATCTAAATTGAATTCCCATTTGATAGCAGAACAATATAATATATACAAGATCGAAATAATTCACCTTTGTAGAAGTTGGCGCGAAGTGACTTGCAGATCATTGTGCTCGTGAACAGTAGATATACGGAAATACCATGGGGTGAAAATACCATTTAGTGTATCAAGAAATTCCTTTCGTTTGTCCATTGTGAATTCGCTTACTGAAATCCCCAGGAATATGTCAACAAGTACCAACTGTGGTATGAAAGTATCGATACGAATTGTGGCAACACTGCAAAAATATAAAAAAGGGTATTGATAAATAAGCGATGAGTCTATGTACACTTATTCTTTGTACATTCGATAATTGATGTGACAGTACTCAGCAAACAGATTGTAGTATTCTTCTTAGTACCATCTTAAGTTTACAAACACGTTTATGTTACTCTGGTTAGGAAAGTGAAGTAGTAATTAATACTTACTTTGATGCATGCGGTGGTGTTGCATTATCCTCTGCATAACATAATAATAAGTATTTCTGTTCTGGATTCATTTCGTCAGTAATAATTACACGACCATCCGTCTCCATGTTGAAACGAGGGTGTGAGTGATACAGTTTATATGTTATATCACCATCTCCATCACTTCCACCTTAAAATAGCAGGAATTATTTTAATTGCTATATAACACATGACACAATATAAATCAAATAAAGTCGGAAAGTTAGACAACTTGTTGAAATGAACGTATTTTGACTATTACATTTTTGGTGATTCATTCGATTTTAATTATAGGAAAGACGTTCCCGGTTCCAGATACATTAAAAAACCTACTTATATCATCATCTACTGCAGATACACTATTGACGAATGAGTCAACGTCAGCATCAAAGCGTATCTCCCAATTCCAGTATGGCTTATCAAAGAATGGAATGTTGTCGTCCACATTGAGAACAGTCACATCTACTGTCGCCGTGGTCTGTTGTGATGGGGATCCATTATCTGTTGCTACTACGGTGAAGGTAATCATTCCTCCAACTGTCTCTAAGTCAATTGACTGAGTTACAGTAATATCTCCAGTTAGAGTATCAATGTCAAAATATAGACTTGCTGGTTGGATTGTGTATGTGATAAGGTCGGCAACATCATCATCAATGGCCACAACTTGAAGTACCAGCGTACCATATAACTCCATTTCAAGAACAGAAGTTATGTAGACTGATTGGGTGAATACAGGCGCATTATCGTTGATGTTCTGCAGATATATATTGACATTGAGATAATCTTTCCCATCTGATGGATCAGTCACGGTGAATGTAATTGAGAATGGTTGAGGAAATACAGCTTCGTAGTCCATGATTTGAGCTACACGTAGTTCAGGAGTAGAACCCCAAGTAAAGCTGAAGTAGGGAGAATATGTATCTCCGATCATGAAGAAATTCAGGTCAGTTAGTGCATCGTCGACATCAATTACTGCCCAGTTGATTGGTACTACTGTTCCGATAATCTGTTTAATGAACAGGAATCATATTATTAATTACCTATGACTTAATAATTTTGTGCAAACAATAGTTTCATTCATGAACAAATTCTTGACAAAACGAACCTGTTCTTCGTCGATGAGAATGTCTTGATTATCTTCTACAAACCTAGGGGGTTCATCGGTGTTCGTTATATCAACATTAAGTGTACCAGTAGCTGTGAATTCACCATCAGTTGCCTCCAACACAATTATATACTGGTCTATAGTCTCAAAATCAAAACTGGGATTATTGGATATCTTTATACGACAGTCATTGTTTGCTGAAATGAAATTGAAGATTTGTATGTTGTATATATTTTATATACTTATATTGTTTATGTATGTCTAAATAAGCATAACAGTATATGTCAGTTATCTAATGTAAGATGTACTTACTTGTATTACTTATGTAAAATTTTCCTTGCCCACTTGCCGGGGAGACAGTTATGGAATATCTCAGATCATCACCATCTATATCATAACCATCGGCCACATAGATTTCAGCTGAATTGATAGCATCTTCTGGTACAGTAACTGTGGCAGGCAGGTCAGTAATTTCTGGTGGTTCATTTTCATCTGTGATCTGAACCGTTAATTTATGTGGTATCCCAGCATACATTGTGTCATGGCATGTCACAGTAAGTATGTATTCATCCAATGTCTCAAAATCCAAAGTAGGTGAATCGATTACGTAGATAGTATTGGCTGTTGATATACAGTGAAAAAATACACTAATTGATTTAAAAAGAAGTTGGCTGTAGCAATATAAGAGGCCTTATTATAGAAGACAAATTGTCCTGTCTCTATTATGAAAGTTCATTTATTTCGTGTATAAATGTATGAAATAATATATAATGCAATTTTACATAATTACTGTAATAATTCTTTCAATCAACTAGTAAACCACTCTGGTGATATATCTTCTAAACACCCAGATATGTACGTCCATGGTATAGTATATTATAGTGAACATTGATAGAGCTTCGGCGCATTTCAATATTTGTTTCAAATTTATATTTTTGCCTGTATTTGTATTACTTCTACTCACTTGTTTGTCAACACTGGTGAATAGAGTTGTGTTTACTGTGTAACTGTGTAGGTCGTTCTGACGATGATTATACTTGGTTTTATACGTTTGTTTTATATTATATGTTTTCTGCATGTAGTTTGTATAGTCAGAGATTTGTATTTATAGTATATCACAAATTATCATGACATAACATTACTACTAATGATCTCAGAATGACGAGCAGTTCAGAATGCACTTGATTTGAATAACAATATAAAAAGTTCAAATGAATAATAAATAATGTCTGGTTTCGAAATGCTTAAAAATATTCGTTGTTTTAAAACGTACATTGACCGTCGTGGTTTGCCGTTGATTTATTCCTAAAAAGCTAACTACTATCTATATGCATCTACATGTTTAATTAGCATTGACGGGCTAATGTATCTGAATTATTTTAGATTTGCAAGACACGGAATAAACATCCTTGATTTTACTTACTGGTTGTATTCATGTAAAAATTACCATCGTTTGGATCAGAAAACATGACGCAGAAATAATCATCTTCATCGTCATCTACAGCTTGTACAACAAATATGGCCGACCCTCCTGAACTCATTTCACCAATCTGTATAGTGTCGTCTAGATTAGTAATATCGGGACCTGTATTGACATCTGTCACCCAAACATGTAAATCTCCAGTATCAGAAAGACCATCTGGATCAGTGATATATATGGTTACGGTCCAGAATGATCGATCTAAGTAATTTAATCCCGGTGTGACCACCCGAATATTGCCTGTAGAAATATATGCTTAAATGAGACCCTGTGGACATTTTGTCCCGAGAAACCGCGGCATTTATAAAAAGAATGGATAAATAATATCATAACAGTGAATTATTAAACGTAAATATATGAGTAATGAAAGTTAATATTTAAGGATGAACTGCACCTGATATGTCAACTGCGAATGGTCCATTTGACGGTGTGGTAGAAATCATAAAGGTCGGCATAGCTGTTGTTGTGTTATCCTCATCTTCCCACGTCAACAAAAACACATTTCCGGTGGCCGACTCTGGCAGGTAGATAGTTGATGGTAAATTGGTTATTCTGATTGGTTCATTCTCATCTGAGATCACAACCGTTAGAGTAGACGTCGTGGACAATCCATCATTATCAACAGCCTCTATGTATAATTCATAGCTTGGTGGTCCATTTTCGAAGTCAAATCCAGGAAGGTTAGCATTTTGAATTCCTACAGCTGTACAAAAAGAAAAGTATTTATTTATTCATCCATTTGAATTTAGGATAATGAACAACAAAAAATTAGTGTTGCTGTGGTTCAAATCATCACATTCAATAGTACTAGTTACTGAATTATATCTTACATTTTCATTGCGACAAATTTTCACTTGAACCTTTAGAAAATACTCAAACAAATAAGACTCGTGTTAAATGTCATATTTTTGTTAGTGATCTGCTATCATAAATGTCGTTGATGCGCCATGATGTATAACTTAGACACATTTGGAATTATAGAAAATGTTTTATAGAGAATTAAAATAAATATATTATACGAGAAGGTCCTACCTGCTTCCCAGGCAAACAGGTCATACGTAACATTTATAATCTTGAACGGAGCCCCAAACGGACTGCTTCCAACGATATTGAAAGATATATCTGCTGCATATGTGTCATCGTCTGTGGCTTTTACATATTTTACCAATTCTGGAACTGTGGCCAGTTCTCCAATTGTCGCAGTGGCAGGAAGGTTTGTAAATCTGGGCGGACTTTTAGTGTCTATTACTTTAACCGTGAGATTTCCTGTTACTACAGGATCGTTAGGGTCATTTAAATCTGTCACTGTAATTCCCAAAATATACTCTGTTATGACGTCATAATCAAACCCTGGTGGCACTACAGCTCGTATCTGTGCAAAATTGTCCTCATCGGGTGGACCTGTGACCACGGATAGAAACATAAATACAAATATAATGAAACCATGGTTTCAACAATGCTACGCTGTTTAACTATAATAATATATGAGGATAATTACCTTGCACTAGTTCAAATGGAAACGGGACGACAGGATTTGGTAATAATGCAAATTTGTATTGTGCATTGGCACCTTGCCCATTTGCATCAATTGGAGTATAGATAACATCCCCGTTAGCAGCTTCCTCCAACACAGTGACCGTCACTGGAGTGTTCAGGCTGACCATTTCCAGACCTGGGAAATACACATATAATTATAACCTACGTTATTAATCCTTTGATTAGATTATTATTTGGAGTGGGGGGTTCTGTGACTATCTTTTGCCCCGGACAAATCCCATAACCCGGCACCCTATGGCACCTACTACGCTTGCCCATATAGCCATGGTTAATATACACGGCAATACGTTCTATAATAAGAAAACACGATATTGAATCCGTTTTATATATGATATTTTAAAGATCAAGAACGAAAATCATCTTTAGTCTACATATTATGTTCAATAATTAATGTCCCTGACACATTTCTCATAGCAGGAGATTAATGAAACTTGGCTCAGTTATTATTCTTTCTCTACATAGGAACCACCCAGAGTTATGCATTTCTCCCATTGTTTGATGCAGCTCTGGAAACCGTTTTTGTAGAACACCCCAGCTTGGTTCTCCAACCACATCGTAACTTCAAAAATCAAGGCTGCATCATCTGGGAAACGATTTCCTTTCAAAAACAACTTCATGGCTGGGAAGAGATGAAAGTCAGAGGGTGCAAGGTCAGGAGAGTAAGGGGATGGGGGAGGATTTCATAGCCATACGCCCGTGCTTCTGGTCTGGCGACATGCGAGTGGTGGACCAGAGCGGAGCGTTGTCCTGCAGGAGGAGGATACCTATGCTGATCTTGCCCCACCTCTTGATTTTGATAGCTTCTCTTAATTTCATCAAAAGCGTAATATGCTCCTGTAATTGTGGTACCCTTTGCCAGGAAATCTGTAATCACTACTCTGTCCTGGTCCCAGAAGACTGTGAGGATGACCTTGTCAGCGGTGGGCTGCACCCTTGCCTTCTTTGGAGGTGGTGAGTCCAAGTGTTTCCACTGAATTTATCTCTGGATTATAGTGATGAACCTGTTTAATACTGTGTAATCAGTGTTTTGAAAAACATATTCTTGGCACATCTCCAAATTCATCCTCGGGCAATCGACGCGTTCTTGCTTCTGGAAATGCCAGCGTTTTACAAGGTCATATGATGGGGCATCATCGCCATAAGTTTCTTTTATTTCATCAAAAATCTTCTTTAGTGTGCGTCCTTTCAAATACAAAAACCGGATCACTGCGCGACACTCAACTGGCTACATTTCACACCTGATTCAGTTCAAACACCTGTAAATCAGAAACAATTAGTTCCGAGCTGCAACATTTTGCAACATAACCCATAGAGATGTAAATCATTACACATGCAACAACTGGAAGTGGGTCAGGGGCATTACTTATTGAACGCCCCTCGTAGTTCAAGGGTCGTAAACATTATGTTATGTTCAATAAAACAATAACCACTCATACGAAATAGATTCAATCCTCATTTCGTGTCAGGCAGAGTCACCGACGATTCTAGATATAGAGCATCTTTATTTCAGATGTTATAAATGTTACATAGATTGGATAGGAATTATATGTATCGACCACGCCTCCATATTCGAACCCACAATCACATCATGTGCTTATATATACTACCACCAATCACAACTTGATAATGAATTACTTCTAATTTTCATTTTCAACATGATTATTAACTATGACTCTTCGCGTTCCTGATCATCTAAGATACTAACACAGCATTCTAATCTAACATCTCTACGCAATTGTAGATGCCTCTGTCATCGTAATATCGGTGTTTACTAATGGATTACACTCACCATTGAGTGTATCCTTTTAATTTATACAAAACACTCCTCCTACGTTGGTGTATCAGTAAAAACAATACAAATAATTTGTGTGCAACTGAACATCCCGACCAATAAAATATGTGCTGTCAGAATGAACTTGAGCACATCCGAAAAAAACAAAAACAATATTGTTTGAGAAGGTGACCACTCACATCAAACCAACCGTGCGTTGAAGTTCCTATGAGTGTCTCCATATCTGCCGTTCCAAAATGCTGGTATGTTCTTGCTTTTTACTATTTACGGTTGTAAACTATTTTATAACTAGCTATTTTATAAGCTGTGTGACTTTTATATGGTCTGAAGATCGATGTATTTTTGCTATTGAGAGTTGCGTTTGGTAAACTGTCGCCTCATCACCTGTGGACATTACACCGTCTATTGTTGTATTCAAAATCAAGTCAACCACCCTCTGCATCGGGCGACGTTGCCATAAATGAGCTATTGTGCAGTTTAGTCAGATATACCTGTGAAATTGTGCGCAGAAAATGTTAATGACAATGAGGTAGAGAACGCAAAGAAAATATTTGTGAGTAGGCTATCAACGGATACCACTGCGCGAAGTCAAAGATTACATCAATAATTAAACTGAACACTAAAGTAAAGTATGAAAAGTTGAATACGAAATTTAACCCGTTTTGTCATTTGTCATTTAATTATCGAGTGATTATTTCCGTAGGCTGCAAGATGCTTGTTTTTGGCCTGCTGCTGCCCTAGTCCGCAAGTACTACTATAAAGCAAAATAATAATGTCACTCAGCATACTTACTTTCATATAATTGCCGTGGTGTTAAATCGTCAATAAGTGATATTAAGGAACTTTGCGATGCACACGATATTGCGTTATTGCAAGAACACTGGCTCACTCAAACTGAACTGCCTCTTCTTTTAAATATGAACTGCCAGTGCTATGCCTCGAGTACCGCATCTATGACCGAAAACGATAGACTGAGAACTGGTCGGCCGTATGGTGGCGTTGCTGTTTTGTGGAAAAAATCCATCTCCGAAAAGAAAGTCTTCGTTCATATTTCCTGTGTGTTCACCTACCCGTGCATTGCAATGACAACGTGCATTGTTGTATGAGCTATTTCCCGAAAATCAAAAGTATTATTGACGATTGTGGGAGTAACAGTGTACATGTCATTGGTGATTGGGAAAAGGGTCGCCGCTTAATGTTCTGACCATTTTACGTTCTGTCTGACTATGCGATCCTAGACAGGTATACAGATCCGTTTACGCACAGCAGCGAAACTAATCAACAACTCATCTGTAGCTCTATTGTGCAAAAATTACTTAAACGTGCTCTACGTATTTGGCAAAGTTTGGAAAATACAACACGTCCAGACGGTCTAGTCACAGCTATGAAAGATTGTGATCGTAATGCATTCTGGTCTAAGTTTCGTTCTATCAATAGTAACAATACTCCACTGTCTTTAATTGTCAGGGGATACTCAGGTTACGATAGTATTGTGCAATGTGGAAACAACACTATAGCTCATTATTAACTTCAGTAAAGAGTAACTGCGATTATAACAGATTTGTGAGATGGTGGCGTCCCGCGATCAATCTGAAGATCTGCATTATATTGGTATTTCAGACATGGCGAAGGATGTTGATAAATTGCCCATTGGTAAATCTGATGGTGATGATGGTACCGCCGCAGAACACTGAACATGCCAGGGATAGACTCTACTTGATGCTCGCGCTTGTTTTTAATTCACTGCTGATCCACGGTTTTCTTCCTGTGTATTTTATGAAAAAAATCCCGATTCCTATAGTTAAAAATCAAATCAGGTAACTTTACCTATAAGGATAACTACAGGCCTAGTGCTATTTCCAATGTTTCCTCTAAGATTTTAGAAACTATTATCTTAAACAGAATTGGTGGTTTTCTAAACACGAACGATGCTCAATTTTGGTTTAAACCTGGACGCTCTACGGACATGTGTATTTATTCTATGAAAGAAATTATGAACTATTATCGTTCGTATAATAACCCTGTATGTATATGCATTTTAGATGCAAACCAAAGTCAACCATTGCTTCCTTTTAGAAAGTTTATTGACAAGGGTCTACCTGGTTATATTATTCGCATTTTAATTGTTTGGTACCGTAATTAGCTGCTCACTGTTTGCTGGGGATAATTCTACTTCTAATTTGTTTTCTGTTTACAACGGCGTTCAAGAAGGTAGTATTATATCGCCTTTACTTTTCAACATGTATATTGATGATCTCAGTTCTCGTTTAAAGTCGTCTAAAGTGGGCTGCTGCGTGGGTGGGGTTTTTATCGCCCATTTGATGTATGTCGATTATTTGATTATCCCTAGCCCGTCCACCCGTGGTTTGATATTATATATTATCCTAAGAAGTCTGAATGTACTTTATTCCTCGGAAGAATGCTCTTAGAAGCAGTGTGATTCTATCCGTATATCTTGGTGACTCTAGGCCTAAAATTGTGTAGAAGTACGTTTATTTAGAATATGTCGTTACTGATAATTGTATAGATGGTGAGAACATAAAACGACAGATTCGATCATTCTATGACAGAGCCAATATATTGCTTCGAAAATATTTTTGCTGCAGTAGTAATAGTAAAATTTCATGGGTCCGAACTTTTTGTTCTAACATGTATTGCTCACAGCTTTAGTTGCAACAAAGTTAGTTTCATTTTTGCGTATAATAATGCGTTTATTCCCGGCCCAGGAATTGTAGTCCGTGCCAGCGGTATTTTTGTGACCTCTGTCATGAATTTGTTTTCGCGTATCTGTTAACCGACTTAATTAGTTGATTATTAGCGAATTGCTGTGTTATGTCTGTCATCGTTTAGGCCTATTTGAAGTTTTGGACGGAACTTGGCTCAGTGATTTGGAACCAATTACGAGATAATCGTCGCTATTCTGACAGTTGGTATTCATAGTTATTAATGTAGTGAACGATTAATCAAAAGATATGACGTATTCAGTACTTAGTGTGATTGGCTTTATGATTGAAGGTTACGCCCTAGAGTCTTTTTTACTGTTTTGTAATTGGTTAGAGTTTTGAAAATGAATAAAGAGAGTTTGAGTTGATCTTGGCGAATACTCCACGACAGACGCAGTCGAGAGTCCAGTCCAGGGGCGAGCCTTGAGGCAGTCCAGTCTTGGGCGAGTCTTGGTTCAGCCTTGTGAGAGTCTTGGGGACTTTTCCCCAGGGCGCTGTGTCTTATAGAGTGCTCCAAAAGATCGACTAAGACGAGAGTTGAAACGTATTTCGTTGTATGTGCCTTATTTGACTGTAAAGTTAAAGTGACTTTCCCGATCCCGTACCTCAAGGGGACGAGATAGAGAGACGAGACGAGTTTCCCCCCTGACACGTGTGGAGAACCCCGAGAGAAGAGATTTACCCCCTTACACCTCCAACATTCCTACATCTCACACTCGTAGACGAAACATGCATTTTTTACTCTATACCAGTCTAACTAAAAGTGATTATAGAATCGTTGCATTGCTTTTATCATTAGACACGTATTTATGTTCGAAGTTTTATGTTTTGTACCGTAAACTTATGTATACGCCACTGTGACAGCTACGCTAGAATTTAGAAGTGTTTTCTCTTAGTTTGTTTATATACATTGCTTTTTTAAAATATGGGATGTACGACATTTTCCACTTTATATCCTGCAATAAATATTTAATAATAATAATAATAATAATATTTATATATATTATTCATCTATGTCAATTATGCAAACACCTGAAAGAGAAATGCAGGCATTTATAAAACCCCTTTCCATAATTAGTTTATGAGTGTATTTGTCAAAAGTCATACAATTATGATTATACGGTGAAATCCGGTCGGGAAATTAAATGTTCTCATTGGTTAATTAACAAGAACGCACGAAGGAAAATGTGTGCAAATTAAGGAGCCGTTGCTAAGACTGAATAAAACAACAAACAAAATGCATATGTTTACTCGAAATCCGACTAATTCAGACAGAAACTTGATAAACAAGTAATATAAGGGATTACGAACAAAGCTTGCATCATTGAAGTGTATGGAATACGCGGACGGTTGAAAAACATTCAAATACAATGTAAAGTTAATATTGTTTTGTAACCAGCGTACATGACAAAAAAAAAAAAACCGTAGAAATAACCTGATTTATTAGAAGAGTGCGTCGTTCAAATTATTCAGTGGAGTTTCAGTGGTAGAACATTTTTCTTCAAACTAAAATCAAGAATACATCTATCTTATGAAATTAATTATGAATTTGGTTAATAAGATTTTGTATGCAGTGCCACTGTGAAACGAATTATTGCAATTATAGTAAATCTGGGTATTTTTGTAAGTGTGTTTTTTTTTTAAAGTATTAAACCACACTTGCTTTAGTAACAAGCGCACGTATTTTAGCACATATATCGGTACAATATTTACTTTTCATTAATCATGTATGCACTTCAAACAGTATCGATTTTTAATGATATAATATATACAAAATACCTAATTTAAGTAGAAAAAATAAAAATGTTTTATTTTGATCGATAGGAAAATACTAAACAGACATTCGACATTCACACATGAAAGCTGATTATTACTCACCCACAGCAACATGGACGTCTTGAATAAAACCAACCATAAAAAGGAAGGAAACAAGTCGCTTACTTTTTTCCATTGCCATACCGATTTGTTGGATAATACTGTTATACGTTGAATATCATAGTATGGCAAGTAAACTGTGCTGTGCAACACAATATGCTACTTAAATAGCAACTATCTCCAGGTACCCTTAAGGCAGCGAATAAATAGCACTTCCAATATTTCGTGTTTTGTTAAATAAAACTTACGTAATGCAGTAATGGGAGTATTATATATTCATGTTAGAATATTGTGAATGTTCATAACTTGTTAGAGAAGTTATTGTTTTGTAACAAAATAGTCATAGACAAATATGGTTAAGATAGGAAGACTTCAATAAATGTTGTCAACAAAATAGTCATAGACAAATATGGTTAAGATAGGGAGACTTCAATAAATGTTGTGCGTTACAAGAATAAAATGCATAACAGTAATTATTTAAATGAATCTAGATTACCACCCGAGCAATCGTTGAATTCAACAATTGTATGGATAACAATACATCGTATTATGTACAACCGTGGGGTGTGTTTTGTTCAGACATCCACAATCATTTCTCACATCAGTCTTATTACTTGCAATCTCACAGTTGAATTAAAATCCAATTTACATTCAACTAAATAGAGTCTAGATAGCAATAAATACCCACCTGCTACAACCGGCATAGTAACAATTGCATTGAATTCATAATTGTGTACTTCTTGGTTCCTATCATGATTTTAGTGTGTATATGTAACCGTTTTTTAAATTTTACAGAACATCTGTAAAATCTTTTGAAAATTGTTTACGAATATCTGTAAATTTCACTGTAGTGTACTGCCCAATAACAGAGAGAGTGTCACGTGTCTGTATGTAACTCACAGGTATCACAGATATAAATGATATTTTATACAAAAACAACCTTTGGTGTTTTCTAGTTGATTTTTACGACAGCTATAATTAACAGGCTTGTATCTACGTCACAAACGCTGAACACAATCGCCGACGCTTTACAGAGTATATTTGCCAATTAAAGTGTTGAACAATAATGAAAGAACGTTACACAATACCAACAGGCTATTGAGAACTAGTGGGTGAATGGGATAATGGGACTAATTGGATTTTTTAATTACTTAGGTACCTTTTGGTTTTCGGTTCAGTTAAGTTCAGTTCGTTATTTCCCATAAATTCCATCTTACAAAATTGAAAGAAAGTGTTTACAAACTTATGAGAGAGGCCTAGACACTAGAATATAAAGCAGCCACTAATCGAGTCTGCCAGTGATACAACATACACATTTTAATGGGGGGGGGGGGTTCATAATTACAAGTACTCATCAAATTTCTGAATTAAATAAAATTAATTATAGATAAAATGTGTCTACGAGGGTCGAGGGTAATGGCCTTTTTGGTGTCGAAGTTGTAGTAAACGTCCGAGGCCCAGAGGGCGGAGGTCTGAGTCTAAGTTGTCGTATTTAACGAGGTGGTACTATGATTTTTGTGTTTTTAGGTGGTTTCTGTGTAGTCCCATCGTGGACTATGTGTCACATGGTACTCCTTTTTATAGAAGGACGATGGCACAGCTCTTAAACCCGAGCTCTTTAGTTTAATCCAGGGCATTGCTGATTGAAATATGTAGCATTTTAATACTAACGTTGTGCTCTTTAATATAGTCATTTGAGAACAACATTCTTTCAAACAGTCCTTTCTAGGTAACTGGTTAAAATGAAACTAGTAAACGGAATTACATTCCTGGTAACGGCTGGATAAAAACCGTCCGCTTTCGACGTTTAGCGGACTGTTAGAACAAATGCGACTGAATATAAAGTATATTTTGTTTGTACACAAAATATATATTTTCACACTATTGTTATTTAGTTGATGTATATTGATGCGAATGCCGTCCAGTATTATTTTAATATTGTGTGATAAAATTGTAAAAAGCTTAACAGTAATAATATTATGATACATTGGTGCACGATCGTCTAATGTATTTTGTTTATTTAACAAACAGTTTCAACATTTTCCATTAGTTCTTAACGTGCTGTACATGAACGCCAAGTCAGAAATACGTGGTTAGTCCACATTATAATATCTGCTTAGCTTGTAACGTATAGTTACAACGTCATGATGGAATTACTCACGTTCTTGAATGATATTATGTCGTCGTTTTGCTCTCTGCTATACTATGGTTATTATATAATCAGCTACGTACATGGCAACTACCGACAAGTTTAATATTTGTTTGTATCTCAATGGAGTCATAACGGAAATAGTATTACGTCTGTATCTTCACATCATCATTACAACAATAGAAACTTTCATCTATAACTCTCATTTATTAAAAATATACAGCAAAAAATGCATTACATAAAAGTGATACGAATGTATCTTTAATAATAGTATAGTATCACTATAGTATGAGTTATCACAACATATCAATTTTGTTATGACATAAAACAGCAGTATTCATCCGATGGAATACATTTAATGTAAAACCCAAATGCGCATGCTCCTCGGATTTTCCTGTACGTACATATATTTCGAAGCGCACACGTACTAACGTTCTCATTATTGCTATGTGTTCTGCCAAAATAATGTTATCATTCTATGTTAAATAATACCATATTGTTTTTATCAATGCATTTTTATTTGAACATGCTCGAAAATACTCAAACTTATTCCTGTTAATTATTAACATATACAATTGAAATCATTTAACTACAATACAAAAATATACCTTTAATCTGAAAGGCTGAAGTCTGAAAATACACATTACTGTATCCGAATATAACTCTGTAAATTCTATTATCTCAAATATGAGACTGTCGTCGGTGTTATATGGTTTAAGTACTGAAATGGACAATTGATTTCTTGTTATCGTTTACTCATGTCCGTAAAATGCGCAATAAAAATATTCATATCGATATTATAAACTATATGAAAATAAATATAATCGAATGTTATGAAAAAAAAAACATATAACAAAAATAAAATATGTTTAAATTATAGTTCTATGCAGACGCAAGGAATACGTTTAAAATAGATCCACTGTTTAGAAACTAGAAACACAATCGGTCTTTGAGGCATAGCAGTGTCGAAATCAACCCCTTTACAGATGATGTAATAGATTTGTTTTTAATTATTGTTCTATATTAGTTTAAAACAAATTGAAAATCTCACACCTCTACTTCAAAAATGCTATATTTCAACCTGAAACTGTACACAGGTAGAACATTAGAAACAATTAAACAAAAAAATATACTAGCTGGTTAATTAGCGATATGTCTATATATGTCTTGGTCAACAACATGCTGCCATTACAAACTATGTTACTGCAATTGTAATATGTAATGTTATGATTGTAGTATAACGAAAGTGTTATCACATAATTTTACCAAATTCCAGTATTCAATGACCGGTCGAACATGAAATGCGTCATTCCCCTGGTACGTGAATTAGTTGGCATCGTTACACTCTCGTTACACTCTCGTTACGCATATTTCAGCTTTTATTTCCAGTCTTTGTCTGATATGTGGTTGTCAAGATGATATGTGTTGGTGGTACGTTGTCTTCTCCTTGAGTCCGTTCGGCTAAAACCTGCAGGAAAATGACACATATGACTTATATATTGTCAATGTATATATTTATATAACATCTATATTCTTGACGAAGTCACGCAAATGCACTTAAAGCGCGGTAGTCGTCGCGCTGCGCATGTACGAGATATATGTGTCTCATATAAACAAAGATGGCGAC